GAGATGTGTCTTGTTAAGTGAACCATGGAATGTGGCTTAATTATTTTATCTAGTTGGGACATATATCGTTAGAGATAGGGAATACTAGGCTCTATTGTGTTACGAAGTTCTGCGATATTGCTATCAGTGAGTTAATGAGAGTTTCGTATTTCACCAGTCCAGGGTCACCAACAGAGGAGTGCAAGACACAGGAAAATCCTCATGTACTTAAAGAATAGAGTAAATATGGAGAATGGAAATTTCAACGCTGAAATTCAAACCACCGCTCAGCCGGTCATAAAAATAACAGATTAGCCTTTTCTGATAAAGTATGTGCACACATGCAAGGAGCAAGACTTCATAAGATATTCACCACACAATCACTAAGATTATTAGGCAATTGCTGTTGTGTTAGGCATCTTATAATAGAAAATAAAAATATGAATTCGTAATCCTTATTACACTGTTTAGCTTTCAGCTTTTGAAGAACGCGTGTTTGATTTTCATTGGCTGTGTGTTTAGTTGCTTTATCCGTATCAGGTGTAAACAGTCAATAAACGATTTTTCTCACAGTTAACTGTTGGAATAGCATTTTTAATGGTTATTTGTGTTTTTTGGTCGAATAGGATAAAATGACAATTAAACAAATTGTTATTTAACCATTTTTTTCCGTGATGGTTTTTACAGTGTAGTGACAATGAGTGAGAAGATGAGAAAGTTATGTTTAAAAAGGATCCTTTTTAGGAAAGAAAAAGAAATCGTTTAATTTAATAATGAGGAAATTGTTTTTCCGTTTGTAAATTTTTTTTATCATGGTTATAAAAATGTAACACAAAGAAATATCGGAAATGCTATAAAGAGACTAATTTTTTTACTGTGAAATATGAAGTTTTCTTACTGTGAAATATGAAAAAAAAAAATCATCTAATATTTCCAATAAGGTGAGAAAAGGAATTTTAAAACATGTTATTTTGCAGAAAAGTAGAAATTGTTTGCTCATGAAAAATTGTTTTAAAATAAAATAAATCAAGTACAATAAATCAAATAAGCTATATGAAAGAAAATTGCGTTAAAAGAGACGTAAAATAAGATATTTAAACGCTTTTAAGATCGTAGTAATACTAAGATGAGAGAATTTTTTCACGTCTATAACTTGCAATTTGCAAGAAAATTGAATATTAAATAACTTTTCTTTTGAACAAAATATTAATTACTAAATTTGTTTATTTAATATTGGGTAAAAGTAACTTTTGAGTTGACAATAAAGAATTAGTGTTGTTTTATAAATCAATTTGTGGGGAATATTTATAAGATTGCTATAATCTAATGTTTAGCTGTACGCAACCTATATTTTATTTTTATTTCACTTTATTTTTTTTTTTTTAAGGTAGTAGCTTTAATGTTCTCATCTGTTTTGAAAGTAAGGGAACTAAAGTAAGGGATTTTTGAAAGTAAGGGATTTGAAAAGAAGAAATTATGAAATTTAAACTCACCATTTCAAAATTCACGTTTTTGACTAAAGCATTTTCTGTGAAATGCTCCGAAAGAGCATTATCAAATTTTGCAAATTATTGTTATGATATGTTTGAGGATGCAAATTTGCCAAATATATAAAGTTTAATGCTGCATATCGATTACCACAGTTGATTCGGCTACACATCATAAATAAAAGGAGTATGAACAAGAGAGTTCTCAATTGTTACCTGGAATCGAATCCAGGAAACCTAGATGAAAAATAAGTGCAATAATCCGTCTTACATTCTTTTATACAATCCAAACAGATTTAAAATCAGATGAAATTGTTAAATAATGCACTGAGACAAGGAAGAAAATTTGTCAATCGTTTGAGATTTTGCATTTTGGGACGATAATACGAAATAATGATCAAGGATAACGAAATACAACTCAAGAATTGCTGATTCGTCAAAAATGGGAGTTATATTTCTGATAGTGCATATGAGGTTGTTTAAATTAAAAATTAACCAATCAATGTTAAAAAATCTCTCAAAGTTAAATCTCTCGATGTTAAAAAATAGTTAGGGCCGATTGTCGCTGTTTTGGTTGTTCAACTTAATGTTGCGTTTTGTTTTGCTACGAAAACACCATAAGACCTACGAATTTGAAATTACGAGAGCCTATAGAAAAAAGAACAGGGGGTACGATGAAATAAGAAAAATTTCTTACTATTTCATTTCAGCTATATTAATATTTTAGTTGGTGAATTATTAATTGTTAAAATTGAAGGTGAAAATACAACAATTATTCGGTCTGCATCCAGCTGAAATAAAATTATGGAGTTAAAATTTGACGTGCAAAACGAGTTCTTCTTAACGTGAACTTCAAGATAATTTTGTTTCGAAATTTCAGTTTGTTCGAAAGTTATTGTAACTCTTAACGCTTTTTCGTGATTTTTTCTGCTTTTTTTGCTCTAAATATTGACTATTTTTCCATTGTTGTGGAAAAATTTTCTTTCACAATTTCTCTTTATTTTATAAGCTCGCGATCGAGTAGATGTCTATCAAAAATAGAAAATTAAATAAATAAATAAAAACAAAGGAGAGAGAGAGTACATGTTACCAGATAAAAGTATATAATGTAAAAAAACATTTAATAAAATGAAATGTAATAAAAGTAATGGTATAATTGGTGTCTAGTGACTGGTATATCGTTCTCTGTTTGATTGGTATAAAATTATTTCTCATTTATTTCTTCTCATTGAGTCATACAAACCGTATTCTTTAGGTTAACACGAATAAGATGATAGCAAGCTTCAACAACAAAATCGACCAGTAGTCAACAGTTAAAAAATAAGTTATCTTTCACAGTTAAAGCTTGTGTTCCACATAGTACGAAATTTCAGTGCAATCAATTGCACCATGAAGGTACTTCTCGATCATATTTAACAATTTATGGTGCAACTTAAATAAAACAATTTTTCATTTAACCTAACTATGGCGCAATTCGAAACTTTGCACTAAGTATCAGTTAAACATTTGCCGAGTTTTTTTTAAAGTGTACATAAAGCTACTGTAATCGTATGATTTTAAAACAAAATGTTCTGTGCTTTTTGTGGAAAATATTAACATTTAAGGAAAAAGCAAACAATGTTAAATGAAAAGCAATTACGGCAGATAGGGTAAGTGGATCCTGATAGTTTTTATTTTTTCAATACATTAAAAATGGCAACGAAAAAAAATATAAGATTTAAATGGAATAATTTCAGAGTCGTTTTGTTATAATTAATTCTCAAGTTTTTATTTTCTTCATAAAATAGGTCACGTGAAAGTTCTTATTTAGAGAGAAATAATTTAAAAGAATCAGGTTGGGCAAACTTTTAAAACCAAAATTTATGTAGATAATTATAAAAAAATAATCAGTTTAGTTTCTTTTTGCGTGTTATTTACAAATAAATTCTCGAAACAGTTATATTTTAAATCCTAATGTTCCATTCTTTCGATCATCCAACCTTTCCAATTATAAATGTTCCAAGAAATAAAATTATGAACACTTGTAACTACTATCTACTTTAATACCAAAAACTATGTCTGTGTATTTGTGATGCTTATTTTAAATCAATGAGATATGGTTAAAAAAAAAACTTTATTTCAGTCTTTCACGATTTTTATGTTCCCCGTGGTCGCATTCAAAACTAGTCTTGGAGATCCTGTAATAAAATTAATAATAGGCTCTCATTAAAAATTGTTTGGAGAAAGTGATATTTTTCACGACTGCGGGATCATCAAAACAAGGTTCATTTACATTTAGGGGGAAATTTGCAAATCTACTTGTTTGATGATAAAGAGATTGTTTGTTTTAAAGACATTTGCAAGCGTAATATTATTCTTATCGTGTGAATAAATAGCAATATATATTTTAATAAACCAATTTTTAAGTGTTATGTATGCATTTAGGAATGGCATTTTTTTCAAAAAGTAATTCAAATAATGAATTTTTACGTCTTATATACGCATTTTACGTGATCCACTGCTTCCTTAAATCACTTTATTAGAGTTATATGCAATATAACGAATTTTACATAAAACGATAATTTTTTGTAATAATTACACTGACGTGGAACGAATAAACCTATGTTTTTTTTTATTCGATGCATTCGAAAGTTTTTACCGTTTTTTTTTCTGCAGAAGTTATTGGTCTAAGTGTTCGTAATGATTAGATAATTAATTTAATTAGAAGAGCTTAAGGAAAGAAAGGTTTTAGGGTTATTTTTGAAAAAAGTTAAGATTTCCCGGTAAGGATCTGATATTGATTTTATTTAACTATATAATTATATATCATCGATTTTGTCTAGTGGATTCCTCCCAATGGGCGAAGGTATTAAGTTAATACACAATTTTTGCTTGCTGTTACTTGTTTCTAAATAGCACTTAAGTTTTATTGCAGCTAGAATTTTTGTAAAGTTGCATCTGGCAACTGCGGCGTAAACAAATGTGAAATGAAAAACGCTGTTATCGACATTTTTTAAGAACAAAGTTGTGTCTTGCTAGGAGCTATCGCAGACATTTTGGTCTCAGAAAAGGGATTTTAACCACCGTTAAGGACTGTTTTCGGAGTGGGAGAATGTTCTGAACTCATTTGACAAAAAATAACAATCTTTAAAAGCTTCTTTTTTGGTAGCATATTAGGTAGGCGATTGTTATCATTCAATTTAAATGAGTGTAAGGAATTTTTACATTTCTCCCAACATCCGTCGACAAAAAATTAAGGCAAGACATACTCCTCATTTCCTATTTTCAGCATGTAAACTTAAAATTTAATTTACACAAAAGATGTCAAAAGATGTATAAGATGTCACAAAGAACCTGCAACCTCCCCATAATGACAGGTCTTTTCGGCCAATCGTTTGTCACACATATCTTTAAGGAATACATAATAATGCTCTACTCTAATAACAATAATCTCACTTGTAAGTCAGGGTTCGAATTAATTGTATTTAACATGGTTCTATGGAAAGAATTCTTCACTCCATATACTCATACAATTTTTTTCTCTTCCTATTTCAGGGTTTTGGGCGATGACGAAAAAAAGCCTTTCATCGAAGAAGCTGAGAGGCTAAGGTGCAAACACAAAAAAGATTACCCCGACTACAAGTATCAACCCAGACGCAGAAAACCACCAAAGAGTTCCTCAACTTTCATATCACAGGAAAAGTCTTCTTCCGTTGACCACCTAACTGCTACAGCACCGGAGCCCTGCCAGCCGGAGCCCCTGCACGAATCCTCCAAGTACTATTCTTCAGCCCTGCACGGTTCCAGTCGAACTTCCGGCTCTCCTCCCACCCCACCAACGACGCCCCTGCAAGCTGGGGCGGCTGGCTCTAGATATTCTACACAGCACCATCTTAGAGAAGATCACCCGTCGCAACACGTAGGCCATAGCATATCAGAACTCACTAATAGAGGTAAAAAGGAAGGAACTATATATTATTCGGGATGTTACGAAACTAATGGTCACAAATGCAAACTTGCTAAAATAAACAACTTTCCCTTTACAACGTGGGGTCGGAAAACAAATAGTGAACCACACCTTGACCCTCATGAAAATGGAGATTGCATCAACGATTAATAATAACGAATTTTAAAAAAATCTTAATTGTTGAAATCTCTACAACAAATTGAATAAGAGACCATCTGCTATAACATGAGAGACCACTAGTTGTCAAATGAGAGATCACTTGCTGAACAATACAGGAGTGACTATTAGCTGAACCATTCAGACGTTGAGAGATTCCAGGCATTTCTTCCAATGCTTGCTCTTTGAAGTTAATTCGATCGGTCTTGCTAAAACATGCATTGGAATCGCTCATAGTTAAATACTACAAGTTCAGCTACCCCGCATATAAGTGCATATCAGTCTTCTTTGTACTCTATTCCTAGTCAAATAGCAGCTGAATGAGGGGTTCTGCGGAAGGTGACGTTTCACCCACTTCTCTTATAGTTAGCCCCTTGCTTTGCGCCCCCCACATTGTACTCTGAAAGTTGTTTGCTTTTGCAAGTTATGTCACCCTCAGGGACTAATATAGGGGATATCTTTATATCTATAGTCACCCTTTACAGATAAAACCAATAGTTTTGTAACGCCTCTGAATAATTTTCTTGTATTTTAAATTTTAGAGATTTTATATGTGTAATAGAGAGAAATATTCGCTTTAGTGGTTGCTTGTCTACTATCAGCCACTATATATTTTCTTATCAAATCTGCTTGCATGTCTGCTTTTAGCCACCGCTTAAGCGAATCATAATATCATGTAGTATTGAACAGTGCTGTTCGCTTATGACGATAGGCTTTAGGAACATGTATAATTAAATATAATATATTACAAATTATGTTTAACTGTATTAGCTTTTTCCTTTCTTTAGAAGAAAAAAAAGAATTTTTTTCCCCTCATCATTACCTTATGTCAGGACAACAAAAATTAATTCCGACCACTGTGATAAATACCACTGTTAAGGGTCGATCGTTAGAGCAACGAATCTTATCGAAATTTGGATGCAATGTTATGCAATCCTATAATAGTTACATAAACAATATTATCCTTGCTACAGTGATATTGTTAACGAAATTATGCAACATTACTTGAGATGATATTTCTAAAATTTAACGAGCATTTTTCTTTGTTTTTTTATGTTCCACTTACTGGAGTTTTTAGTTAATTTTAAATAATTCAGTACATAACATAATATATTTATCTTTCCAGAATCAATATAACTTGTATTTCTTATTATTTAGAATCTTCATGTAGCCTAAGGACTGCACAAACGTTAAATTACATAGTTAAATCGTTGAGTTATTGAACTGTATATAATATTTTATAAGATCCACATTTGTCTCTAGATTTGAAATTCTGCAATCGACTATCAAAAGTGAATTACAGAAATTACCTCAAAAAATCTCAATAAAAAACAGACAAGCATTAAGCCGCAATTACTCAAACTTCAAATAAAATTATCATTCTTATTTATGAATCTTATACTTTAGCTTCTGAGGATAAGGTTTATGAGTAAAGTTTTTATTAATCGTTCTGTAAATAAAGTTTGAAGTCTTATGAATAATGCTTATAAATTTTTAAAACATAAAAATATTAATAATTAACCTAAAATTATTGTGATTGTATTGCTAATCTACGTTACTACGGTATTTTTTTGCGCATATAATTCTAAGTAATACAATTTTATTAATGCAATTTTATATATTTAGTTCTTTCTCTAATAATATTTCTAATGTCTATAGACCAACACGGTTTCTAAATGGCAAGTAATTGCTACAATCTTGCCACATTGCTAAAACATTCTCAGAAAAATTGGTTCAATGTTAAACCGTAATATTGGTACTTGGAACTGTAATAAGGTGCAAATTTGCAGTGCGTATTATTCTTAATTAAGATTCAAAGGGAAAAAAATGTAAAGGAAATTATATTTCTTGCTCATTAAGATTTTACTCAATATTCCAAGTAATTATTCAGCCTTGTTAACCTCCTTCCTTTTTAACCTATTGGGATTTGCATAAGAGCAATTTTTGTATTTAAGATGACAATTCACTACCAGAAGAATCAATTCAACATTAGACCATATTAACGAGCAATCAAACTGAAAAATTACAATATATGGTTAAATTTAACATCACGTCACATTGCGGCAAATATGTATGACAGTACGATTTAACAAGCTTCAAAATTTTTTAACAGTGTAAAGTTAAACGCATGTACTGTAAGGTGTGCAAAATCTTTCAATTAGAGAGATTTTCCATCTCTTCTGTCAATTTTTACCTTTAATTTAATTAAACCAAATTGCGCAAGCATGATATGATTACTTGATAAGTGTAGCTGTGTAGATCTAGTTAAGCTGGAGGAAGATGTTAACAGGACGTTGAAGGGTGCGAAATACTTTATATAGAGAAACTGCAATCGTATGTTTGATTCCGTTCACTTTAACACGATTGCAATCCAAAAAACTGTTGCAAAAGAAAAATATTTTTATTCTTTATTATCTCTCTATTAGAGAGATTTTCCATTTCTTCTGTTAAATTTCACCTTTAATTGAATTAAACCAAATTGCGCAAGCATCATATGATTACTGATAAGTTGCGCTGTGTTGATCTAGTTAAGCTGGTGGACGATGTAAACAGGACGTTGAAGGGTGCAAAATCTCTCATATAGAGAAACAGCAATCTTATGTTTGATTCCGTTCAGTTTAACATGGTTGTAATCCAGAAAACTGTTGCAAAATAAAAATATTTTTATTCTACATTTAATTAGTAAATAAGCGCAAGATCTTGCAGCATTTTTATTTCAAGGAGAGGAGGACAAACTTGAGAAAGTTCAAGCAAAGAGTGCTAATTATTCATTTTTGTTCCTAATTTGTTTTCCTATATAACGAAAAAAAAATTTGAAAGTGCTCGTCAAATTGATATTTAATCACTTCTCCTGATCTATTTTTTTTTGTCTTAAGATCTATTGTTTATAAAAAGACGTCATTTTATTTTTCGTCAAATAGTCAAGCACATGGCACAAAAGAAATCTCTGTCTTCCCACCTAGGGTGGAGCCAAGGAATATCAACTTTCTGCAAGAGGTGGCTCTTGACGCTATCTTCGGATCAAGAACTTAATTGTTCGGCGATTTTATTTGATAAGTCTCCTCATCACGACGTCATAAGAACTCTAAAGACGATAGCAAGTAGGAAGGGTGACTTAAAAAAACAAGGATCGAATATTGGAATCGAATTTCCTGGTGAATCCGGGTTGACAAGCTAAGACTCAAACCAGTCAGAAAGATCTGTTTTCGGTGCAGTTGGGTGGGGTCTTTCCACACAATTGAGAAATCTTCCCAAATGAATATTAATTTCCCAATGGAATTTTTTTCTCCATACTTATGAATACAGTGTTGTGTGGTGTTTTAAAAGACAAAGAACCATTCTGTAAAATAGTCTGAGCACTTAAGCAACAGTAGCCTTTAATTGCTGATAAATTGAAATAATTAGATTGTTTGGCTATAGTGTAAAATAACCTTAGTAGGCAGCAGAATATTTTATTTACAAATATGAAATTAAAAAAAAAAAAAAAAAAAAAAAAAAAAAAAAAAAAAAAAAAAAAAAAAAA